AAGCATTATAATATTTATAATATTATTATGATAATATTATCTATATATATATATATATATATATATATAATTATATAATATATAAAATCTATTGAACGGAATAAAACACAAAAAAAGGTTGCCATATTATACTGTATCGTGCCCGGCTTCCATTACCAATTTAATCGCCATTATCACAATGCCCAACCCTTCAGCTCAACTCACTCCTCACCTCCCTCATATTCCTCCCCCTCCTCAGTCATCTCATCATTACTCAATACCCTTTCGATAACCTTCAACGTCCCGCGCAGCGGCAAGCCAACCACGTTATCAAAAGTGCCCTCAATCTTCTTCACAAGGATCGAGCCGGTGCCTTGGATTGCGTAGCCACCTATACGCATTCTCACTCGTAAGCAATGGTACCTTTCCATCATACCAGGGTGGGGGGGCTTGCCGGCTTTGTCGGCGCCTTCTCTTGTCTGGTTTTAGGTTGGTTAGTGCCTGCATGCATGGAGTGGGGCGGACTAGAAACCTTGACATATGCCTCCAGAAGATGGTCTGTGACCATTGGGTCAAAGGTCACTATAGTCTCCTCAACATGGTTCTCCTGCGCATAGCCAGGGTAGACTAGTGTTTCTAGGGGTGCCATGGCCACGACAGCGGTGCATCTGATAAATGCGGCAAGTGGGTGAATAAGTTTAGCTTAGACTCCGTCCCAGGGTGTCGGGGCGCTATGTTGGGGAGGTGGGTGGAGGGAAGGGGCGGGCTCGGGAGAGAAAATGAAAAGTTTATTTTAGGTTTCCTTCTTTCCTTCCTTTTCGTTTCTTTTTTCTTTTTTCCTTTTTTTTTTGACGTGTGTGCGAGCATGGTAACTCCCATATACCCGCATGATACCCACCCATCCGGCCAGGCAGAACGGGAATATGGAAGTTATAAGATAGATTTAAAAAAAAAGCTTACACTTTATGTGGAGGCCCATCCCTCAAAGTTTTTAGCATGGCCAGGTGTTCCTTCTCGCTCCTTGGTTTCTCCATAATCTCCCCGGCATAGCTGACAATCACGGTGTCTGCGCTCAAGACGATAGCGGGCTCGCCCTTGACCGGGTTGTTGATCTCGCGCTTGTACACCTCCAGGCACTTTTGTACGGCCGTCTCGCGCACGTACTCGAAGGCCCCGTAGCGGGACTTGTCCAGGTCCTCGGCAAAGCTTGATGGTATCACTTCTATGTCTGTCAGGCCAATCTAGTGTGGGGGGGGATGATTAAAGACAGATTAGTGGGTTGTCATGTATATGTCGTAACTGGAATCACGAGATAGATGGAGATGGATAGATAAATAGATGGGGAGGGACTAAATTAGCTCGTCCCATCTTTAGATATGCCGTGCGCAAGACATGCAGAGCGAGTGCGTGTGGGTGAGCTAGGCATTGAGAGGGTATAGGTGCTATTTCCCACCGCCTCGGTGAACAATTCACACGCAACCTACCGCCATCCCTCCCGCAATGGGATCAAAGCCAACAAAACAGCAATAAAGAAATATACCACCATACCTGCGACAACAACTGCTTACGTCTGGGGGAAGCCGAAGCTAGAATAACCCTCTTCCCCCTGATCATGTTCAAAGCAGGTAAATCCAATGGAGGGGGTCTCCGAAGTCTTTCCTTCACGCCCCGAGACGGGTGTCCCTCTCCTCCTACTCTCCCTCCGCCTCCTGATGCAGCGGATGCGGGGGGACCGCCAGCACTGGCACTGGTGGAGTAAGTCGGCGGCGGATCCAGCGGTAATGCAATAGCACCGCGTCCACCGCTACCCCCTACTCCCCCCGCTATCGCGTTATACAACCAAGACATTATCTTTTTCTGATCCCCCCCTTTCTTTTCTTTTTTCCCTCTGGTACCGGTATGATCGGATTCTGATGCTGTCGGTGCCGAATGATACGGTTCAGTAACAATTGTGATAGCGGTAGTACTGGTATGGTGGTGGTGGTGGTGGTGGTGGTGGTGGTGGTGGTGATGATGGTGGGTGGCGGTGGGTAAAGGGGTATGTGCTACGGTAGTATCACACGAGTACTCGAGTACCGTACTCGTACAGGTATCGAGAGGCAGCAGAGCCCCAAATCGCCGCGTTGTAAGCGAACAGGGAGAGGTGATTGGCCAGAGCCTCACCAGTGCTGAATCCAACCTTCACGAAATAGTACGGGGCACTTCACGACAGCTGCGGGCCATGTTGTGGCCGTGGTTGCGGCGGTAACACAACTGCCGTATGTAAGCTTAATACCGGTAGCTTATTGTTGGACTATGATAGCTCCCACACAACAGACTCACGGGTTACACCACCGTAACTTACCGGTCGTTTACCGGCGTCATGGTCTACAGAAACCAAGCTTTTGTCCGGTCCTTTTTCTGTTATTTATTTTTGTTCTTCTTCTCCCTCTTCCCCCCACCTCTCCCTGGACCACCCGGGCCCCTCTACAGTAGGGGGCGGCTCGCCGGGTCTCGAGCTGACTGTCACCTTACACACCCATGATACCTTACCGGCGCCCACACGCTCGGCTCTGGACGTTTTCTCTTTGTGCAACCTCATCCTTGTGCTTCCCTCCCCGCGCGCCTGTCTTACTCCACCTCCAGAAGCCCTGCTGCCCTATCTATCGCACCAGTACAGTAAGGGGGCGGAGAAAACGAATAAATAATGGTAAGCCTCGAGCTTCGAGAACGCGATGCTAAGTAATCCGAGTATCATGGAGCTGCGTGCCTTTGGGCTAGGCCAGGCTATCAATACGCGAGTATGATATCCCACGCGCACAGCAGCCCATCTCTCGCTTACCAGAATCCATCCAGCACACCATGTCATAGGCTATCGTGAGAACGTGGTTTAAGCCTCCGCCTGACCCTACACTCGAGGAAGTGTGACGTATCACAGAGAGACAACCACGCCATACATTCCGGCACACAACGGCATCATAGCTACCCGTACCCCAAGACATGCATACCATATACTGAGTACTCGAGTGCATCCCCACCCCACACTCTTCATACTACCGCAGCCGGGTTGAGCTGGCCTCGCTCCCGGCCGATGCCGAATGCCTGCATCGCTGAAACTCGGAATTCAACCCTATCTACGAGCTATCATATATCATATCGGTATGCAAAACATAGAAACGAACATGCATGCATCCGATCGGTCCGAGCACCCCGGATACGGTACGAGCCCGGGCGTCGGGTCGGGGAGTTGTCCGGTTCGGTATGGATTCTAATGATGCTGCACCGGTATTATAACAGCAACACAGAGAAGGCAGCTTATACGGTGAGGAAGAGGGAGGGGGAGGGGGGGGGGGGGGTGGCAATGAAAAGCCCCACTGATTTGACCTTTGCCACTGGATCTTTTGGGGCATTGTTCGCCGTCCCCTTCTGTTCGTTCCTTCACCCCATGGGTTAACGCAGGTGGGTGGTGGGATCCCCGTGTAACGCCGAACCGGCGGCGAATGGTTCTGTGGCAACCAACCCAGGCCCAATGCCTAACGTTACACACCCTCTGGCTACGAATCATACAAGGACAATCCTGCTGCAAATATCCCACCTTGCGAATATCTGAGAACTTGTTTCACTTCCGCCAGAATTTGCTCTCTTTGCATGCCTGGTTCCCCCACCTGGCAACTGTAATCCATACTGCATTATTGCTGCCCTTTACTAATTAGAGCTCAGGTTCAGTGTGTCTACAGGGTGTTGTTTATGTTTAATCTTCGTTGCACGGTACAGCACTTGAGCACAGTATCGTTCGAATGACCGACCTGAAAGAACGTAGGGTTTGGCTTGTGATCCCAAAACCTCATCGTCATAGCACCCCAAATAATCAACCCTCCCACTACCGCCCCTGAACAAAACCTCGAACAGCCCACCGCACTGTTACTCACGCTCAAGCAGCCGAGTTAGAGCTGCGATTTTCTTGCTGCGTCACCTCCAGCAAAAGAGACGAGAAAGGCAGCTCCAATTCGGCGATCTGAGCACCGCACTGCGCTCTACCGTGCTCCAAGGTGAATGCCTTATTTTTAAGTTTCCTACTGCGCGAGTGATGTCACGTGGCTCGGGTCTCGTACCGGGGATGCTCGGAAGCAAGGCGAAGCGGCATCCTTAGCCATTTCCGTCCCTTCTTTCCTTCCCTCCTCCCTTCGGCCGTGGGGAAAGGGTTGAAAAGCAACCCGGCAGTCTACGGTACTCGACGTCTTCCTTTTTTTTTTGTCAGTCTACGAAATTGAGGGAAAAATAGAAAGAAGTGATTTAGTTACGGTATGATCGGTGGGTGTGGTGGAGCAGTACGATGGGCTTGGGGAGCAATAGCTCGGGCCCCCGGATGCGTGAATTGTGCTCCGGAGACTTTTTTTAAAAAAGATCCCGAGTACGGACGCTTGGCCTGCCGGCCCCGATCAGTGTTTGGGTGTGCGACTTCAACTCGGCCGCGAGAGTGCCGGTGTTCATGGGTCCCGGACAAGAGTGCCTCCGCAAGCCGAAAATAGTACCGGTGTGAGGTGTCTCGATTGGCTTCCGGATATGGATGGTGTTTTCGACCAGGCTGAGCTTGTGGACGTTGGGTCGCTCTGTATTGCTCTGCGGCCATCTCCTGTATCGCAGGATAAGGTGACGGAAAGAAGATGAAGTAGGACCCAATATACATGTGGACCGGCGGAAAGTACCGGTAGTAATCTATCCGCCTGGTGGGTAGTGGCAGTTGCTCGTGTCTAACCAGGAGGGGAAGGAGACAGGCAATATACAGAAAACACATTGTGCCAAGACACCCTAAACAGGAAAACCTAGGGGGTGAAAAGCCCTACCAAATATGACAACAAGCAATCAATCCTGTCCCCTCCTCACGGTACAGTCCAGTACCAGCATTTGATGGGGACTCGCGCGAGATATCGGATGGTGCACAGTGGTCATTCTTGGCGAAGAGGCGTGAGAAGGGTGTCAGCGAAAAGCCCATCCAATCCTGGTCTCGTTCGTCGAGACTGCGTATGCGGAGTGCGGATTGTGCGGGCTACGGTATCATAATGCAAGCTGGTCTAGGTGGTCGAGTATGATACCGTACGAGAGGTCTACTCGCACCCTTGAGCCAACCGGAGGGGGTTCAACCTTGCCCGTGTGTTGCAAAAGCAGCCGCAATCTTGGCAGTGCTTAGGACTGCGGTATGAAACGCCAAGAATTTTGGACACCCCTGCGAAGCCCAAAGGGCAAGTGTAGTACCGTACTCATAGTACCGTGCTCCTACGGGTACCAAACCGCACGGAAGCATGATGCTATATGCCTGTAGCGCTGGTGTCCGAGGAGATGTTTTCATCCAAGACGGAGTTTACTTCGCAGGTCTACCTGAATTGCCCGCTTGCCAACTTTCCTGTTGGGCGCTTGCAACACCGGGTACGAGTGCCCGGGAGATGTTCTCGCGCAAGACAGTAGAACTAACCAAGGTACTTAATGATCCTCGTCTTGTACCGGTATTGCACGAAAGCATCTTCCCCCGGTACTTGTGCTTGTCTCAGGCCACAGGTACAAGTGCCCTAAAACAGGAGGGGGGTATATTCTATACAAGTACTATATCGGCACCCAGATAGACAGGTGTTCCCTAATCCCCGCCTTCGGGTACCGTCCGAGTACTTTTGTCCTGAGACAAGGGCTAGTGCGATACCAGTACTCGAGTGCTACAATATGAGGGTACGTCAAGCGCGGAACCTTACGGCAGCTAATTCATCGCATTCACCTCCGCGCCGCAATATCCCGCAACTGAAAAAACTTTCACCCAGCGCATCGGAACCGGGAGGGGAGGGTCAGACGCAGAAGTGAATCAGCTCGTATGCAGCGAGCTTTTGCCCAAATTTTTGTCTGTAGAACATTTCCGCCAAGACCGAGAGCCAGAAACCACGGCCGGAAAAGGGAGTAAGTTACCCGGCATACCACCACATCCATCGCAGGCCAGTTTTCCACTTCCCAGATCTTTTCGCTGCGCCCTTGTCTCATACACCTTTTTCCATATGACCCACTTTCCTGGTCCAACGAATTCTTACCGGTACGGTACCCGCCTTCAACCAGATTCATTTTTTTTATACCCCCCGCAGGCGAACTGGAACAGCGCGCTCAGGCACAGCGATTGGTCGAGCACTCGAGTAGACCACCCCACAACTTCATAAATGGTACTCGGTACCCCTTGCCCTCTGGTTAACGGATGACTAAGGCACAGCGCGCGACTACTATGCGTAGTATCGTACCGGTACAGTATGATATCGGTAGATTGATACTCTTACAAGTACGGTAGAGCTAACCGAAAGAGCACCCCAAATCCGGCATCCGGTCCCTGCGGCATTACGAGTACTCTACATTCGAGGGGGGCATGATATGATAAGCCGGCTCAAACGCGCCTACCGTGCATAACCGTATCGCGCGGCTCGTATGCAAGGTATTCGTACTAGTACGGTACTCGTACATCACGGTACCATCCTGCACACCTGTCCCGCATCTTGACATACTTGTTGTACCTTAAACGCTGGCCCTCTTTTTGTTTCTCCCTTCCTCCTCTCCTCTCCTCTCCTTTCTTTTTCTACATGTCGTTGCGCTATGTATCGTACGAGTACTCTAGTACCGGTACTAGTACAGTGAATTGCACGTGCTTTTCTCTTTCTGCTGATTTGTTTTTCTGTACCGTAATCACTTGCTCTTGTGTGATGGGATATACGTCCAGAGATGTATCCCTTGGACGGTCAGATTCCTGACCGGGCGCGCAAAGCCTCTTCTGGAACCTGGCCGAGATTTTGTGATTTGCTGAGAATATTTGAATTCACCATGATACGGGTGCTGAGTCATTTAAGCGCTAGGGGGAGGTGGGAAATCGGGGCAACCTTTTCAATATGATACCATGCATTTTTCAACAAACCTTTCGGATACCATCGGCCGGGAAATGTGCCATCGATAAAGTGAAACCTTTGCAAAGAATTACTTCACCTTTGACCCATCATAAAATAATGAGGAAAAGTTCAAAAAGTAAACTAAAATAGGGAAAGATAAATCTGATAATGGTTAGATTTTTAATTTTCTTTTGTAGTTAGAAAAGACTCCTGTGTGTTGGTCTACCCTTGCTTCAAAGTGGTGTGGTTTGAGTGGAAAATTGTGCCAAGAATTCCAAGGAAATTGCGAAAACCTTCACAAAAGAACTTAGTTCATCTTCAAAAATTGTGAAAAAAAGTAGAAAAATATCTAGAGGCTTCAGGTTATTTCTAATCTTTTTTTATAAATTCTTGAAAGTTAATTGGGTTATTTGAGGAATAAATAGACAGAAATAGTTCTTTAGGATTTTGCTGTTCATTGCTATGTGAAACCTTTTGGATGGTATATTTCCCGGGGGATGGTATCCGAAAGGTAGGGCGCTAATTGCATGGTATTCAAAAGGTTTTCTCATGGGAAATCTGATTGTGGCCGGGTTCGGTTGACTGTTGCCGAATCTGGCCTTGGTGCGCCTGGATTGGAATGCTTCCTGTGATGGTTATTGAATTTATTTTGATTAAGCGCTTGGCTACGAATTGGATTGTCTTAGACCACCCTGGGCTTATTGTGGTGCATTCCACCCGGTGGAAAACCCCTAAGGAAAAAGAGGAAAGAAAGAGAGGGAAGAGAAGACTTCCTGATTCATTGATTCATTCGGCGGAAATTTAATTACACGTGGTCGAGCAGGAGCAGGAAAAAAAGTGATCATGCGAGGGGGAGAAGGAGAACGGGGAAAGTCGCATTTTTAAAACAATGGTTTGCCGAGACAAGACGAGACGGGAGGGGGCCGAGTGATATACCATGTAATAATTCGCCGAGATGAGTGCTTCTTGCATGACGACTTTTTTTTTCCACCGCTGTTGATGGAGTGGGGGAAGGTTTATCCCTCTTATTTTTTCCTCTCTTCTCCTACCTATCCATCAATGTCGGCGATCTGTGGGCGGGTGACTAGGGGTTAGTGTATGTATGAACGAGACAAAGCTTCTCGTGCTTTGCTTTTCATGACATGGGAGGGAGGGGAGGGGGAGACGTTTACGGCACCTTTAGCACGGCTTTACCAAAGTTCCTTCCCTGGAACAGACCAAGGAGTCCATTGATGGCATTGTCCATACCATCACTGACAGATTCCCGATAGATCAACTCCTTGTTTGCGAGCCATTCACCAACCTTCTCTTGATGTTCCTCATGGTATTTGGGACCAAATTCTGCATCAACAACGATGAACCCCTGCAGTTGGAGTAAGAGAATGTCAGGAACCTTTTCCTAAAGGAGATAGCTTTCCCCCCCTTGGTAATCCTAGCGCTTTGGTATCATCATGATACCCTAATACTGCTGTGACGTGGGTGATATCATGTGGAAAGAGGAAAAAATAACTCACCCTGATAGTGTACCGTTTCGGCACAACAAGGTTAATGTTTCTAATGGGATAAGCGTCCTTGGGGTCAGCGAGGTTGTACTGCGAGATCATCCCGCACTCGATAAACCTAGCGTTTAGGTTGCCATGGGACAGAGCGGCGTCAAGGGCCTCGCCGCCAACGTTGTCGTAGTAGATATCGATCCCTTCCGGTGCGTATTTCCTAAGCGCCTCGTCGGTCGAGATGCTCTTGTAATTGAAGGCCTCGTCGAACTTGAGCTCATTCTTGATATAGGCCACCTTCTCGTCCGAGCCGGCAGAGCCGATTACTCGGAGGCCCTCCCGCTTCGCGAGTTGGCCAACGATGGACCCCACGGCTCCTGAGGCTGCCGAGATGAAGATGGTCTCGCCCTTCTTTGGCTTCCCAATTTCGTAGAGGGAGGAGCTGTAGCGTACGTTTGTTTGTCAATTGTGGGGGGTTCGTTATTTGCAGGCCGTGGGGAGGTGGAGGTCATACTAAGCGGTCAATCCGGGCATTCCCAACACACCCGTGAAGTAGCTCAAGGGGAGATTATACGGGTTGTGGATCTTCTTCAATCCCTTCGCCGTCCTCTCAGTGTGTACGGTGTACTCCTCGGTGCCGGTTTGTCCGCTGCAAAATTCACCTTCCTTGAAATTGGGGTTGCCGCTCTTGATGATCTGACTGATACCGTTGTTCGTGATGGGCTGATGGAGGGTAAATGCCGGGGTGTACGACTTGGCGCTTGGGGCGCTCATGCGCCCGCGCTGGTACGGGTCGAACGAGACGTAAAAGTTCTTGGTGATGACACCGCCCTGGGGGACGTTGTCGAGGTCGACCTCGACAGTATCGAGGATGAGGTCTTTTCCAGCGACTGGGAAGCCGCTAGGGACTGAGTTGAAAACAACACGTTTGCTGGAAACCATTTTGATGTTTTCAACGGGGCAAGGGCAAATACCGTACGTGTGCGGGGGCTTCTTTTGTCCGGGTATTGGAATTATGTAAGTATTGATCTTCAGAGCGTGGTGTAACTTGGCGTGACTTGGGATGATATCAGATCTAATCTGCCAAAAAAAACGGGAGCGGACGCCAACCTTTATAACCTTTCGGACAGTGAAGTGTCGGTCTGTGGGTGTGTGCACCTGTGTGGGGTGATCCCAATTTAACTGAGCTGGAGTTGAGTTGTCATCATCACCACTGGCAGGATCTCCGAGGGGGGGGGGACGGCGGCAAGCAAGCGGGCTAAGTGCAGGATATTATCAGGACTTCCATCTCCTTCTCGCCGGTCCATTCCGGCCACTTCCTACTCGTAAGCTGTACGAACAACCATTCATCGATTCAATCAACCTGGCGTTCCCCGGCAGAAGAGAGGGAAGGAGAGAGTGGCTTAGAAATCGAGACTGGCCGGCAACCGTCCTACTATACTCCTAGAGCAACGTCACTGCCTATCGTTACTGATACCGGTACTCCGTCGAGCCAACCATACAGTACGAGCACCGGTACTCGAGTACAAGGTTCCCACCACCATAGCCATGGCATCATCGTCCCAAAGTGTGCCCTATCGGTCTAAGGTGGTGCGGCGAAAAGAATGGACGAAGCCCAATCAGCCTCGGCTCCAGTCTGATATGTCGAAATGATTAGTCCTTTTTTTTTCCCGGGTTCTCTTTTCGCCACCGTTTGTTTGGCTCGGGCTGAAGAAATGTTGATTATTGATGGGGAAACCCGTATCAGCCCAATGCAGGTGCCGTAAGCTTGCTGCTACGGGGTTTTCTTCATGATGAGATATGATATGCATGCGGGAGATCCGGGGGCCAGGGTGGATTGGGGCAATTGAGATCTCGAGGAATGAACGATCTCGTGGCTGTTGGTAGCGGGATTCCGCGCCCTTTTGTGGTGCGATTGGCGCGATATGCTTGGAAGCTTGTTGCACGGAGTTGCGAGGCAAAGTGAATTTGTCATGGTTTGCCGCTCCCCCACAATCTTTTTGCTACGGTTAATACGGGGTTCAAGTCGGTTGGAATAATCCCTCTACGTATCGTACTGGTAAATGGAGAGGGCTTGCCCAGTCAGTGGGAGAGTTGTCAAGAGTTTTGCTACAGCGGAGGCTATCGCTCGCATCAAGCGCCCATGAAACAACCTCGGTCCGTTCGAGAGGTCGGATAGCATGAGGAAGGAATAAAAAGTGCTCGTACGGTATGGCGGAAGACGCCCCTACCATAGGTCCCTCAATTCCCGGTCCGATTTCGCGCTTTTCACACCCCGATCGGGTGGGATCGGGGAACCAGGTGGCCAAGCCTTGTCATTAACTTATGCTATCATATTATCATATCATAATATTATCATAATATCATCATAATTATTATTGTATAAAACACTACCTAGGCGGTCTGGGAAAGCGCCCTGATGATTAGGGTTCTGGCAAACGTTCAATCCGATTCCATAATCGCCAAACGAACACGGTACTGGTATCATACCCCACCCTCTGATGCTACCATAGCGACCAGGTAAAACTACGAGTACCGTACTCCTCTGGATCAATAACTATTCTCAACATCTAAAATATCATGTTTACTATACACTATCATAAAACCCACCGCTCTAACCTCCAACAGTATAGCCCTAAATCCCGGTATCCCCGGTGTACGGTACTAAGTCGGGGCAAGGAGTTACCGGGAGACTGGGATTTGACCAATCCTTGTTACGAGCTTCCCAAGAACAATCAATTAGAATCTTAAGTTTACTCGAGTAATGGGAGGAAAAAAGTGATTGAAAGTAGATGATTTTCCTATTCTAGTATGGGGGGAGGGAGCTATTGCCTGCTGCTATCACTACTTCGAGCCAAGTACTCAAGTTTACAGTCTGATCAGTCATCTACCGAGATTTGTTTGCCCGCAATAACTGAGTCTGTCTTCCATAGGCACAGTACTGTACCAGCATTTGTCAGCGTAGTGCTGGAACCTCACAATGCGAGCTGAGCACACACTCCCGGTATATAAGAGAGCAGGTGGGAAAATGGTCTGCAAAGCGCTGATTAGGTTCAATCTTGAAAACAGGAATGTTTCGCAAATTGCTGTATATAAGCATATGAGATGCAGTGGATCCGGAATATAGGAGATAATAGGATGCCTATACATGGTATTTCTTTAAATCTACAACTTTGAACTGCCAGGCTCAAAGAAGACTGAGTCATTGTACTTGTTGAGGGATTTTCCTAACCATACAACAGCAGGGCTTGAAGAAGAAGATATGATGAGTTTATTTGCCATAGTATTTCCTTTGTTGACAATTACTACTCCACTTAGGGGTGACAGAAGGAGCTTTATTCGTGGAAAGATCTCCTTTGTCCGTGACCACTAGGCGCCCGCGAAGGTGGGGTCGATTCCATTTGTGGTGAAAAGTTATTTGGATGGACAGTAGGCGAAAGTGCAGGAATTTTCTGTCAAGGGAGCCCCGGGGCTGCAGGTAGGGGTATCTCACGCTGCATGTTGATAACTGTTTAGTTGGCATATAGTAGGATGAGATAAGGTTTAGACTAATCCATCCACCGGTTTGGACGGGACACCCACATACCTTCATACCTCGGGGAGATGATGCGAATAGTAATATCCCCACGCCCAAGTTTCCCCAGCCCACTTCCCTCGGCTCCTGCGGCTGCGGAAGAGGCGGAGCGGGAGTGAGGGAGAGTTATCTACTCTCTATATCATGATGACCACAGCTTTTTGGCGTTCACGCAAAGTTGGCGGGTTTAAAATGCCCCCCGTCCCCGGGGGGTTACAAGTACGGGGTTAAGTTAGTTGAGGAGAAGAAGAGGAGAGGAGGAGGGGGTAGGTTGGTGGATAGGAGTGGGGATGGGGCCGGCGGTGGAGCGCAATGGTAGTGGATGGTGCTACTATATAGTGCTGTACTTGTAGGGGAGGTGGGAGTGAGGTCGGGTGATCGGAGAGGATATTGTGCAACCTTGTGGCTGGGGTAGTAGTGATAGAATAACGGAAACCGGGTAATACGAAGGGGATGAGATGGGATTAGAGGGGATCAGGTTGGTTGGCCATGTTGAACTGCATGGGCACAGTTCTGTACAGTACGAATGTTGGACTGTTGTCACTTGTGGTCTTGGACGAACCATTTGGTGGAGATTAGTAGGATTGGTGGTTGTAACTTATTCATCAATTGCGATAAATGCTACTTGTACTGTACGGGTACGCCAATAATTCTCGACAACACGAACAGGTCAAGATGTTGATCGGGGGATTGGACTCCAATGGCGAACCAAACCTCTCCAGTTACCCTGTTGGAATGCTGTACCGTAATGTGCCAGGTGTCTCTGGTAACTTTGGCGGGGGATCCGCTTCAATACCTGTATTTGTGATATGATATTATCACTTTCTTGCCGAGTTCTTCAATTGTTTCAAATAAGGGTGGGATTTCTGTGCAAAACGGCCGAGTTGTGTTATCACAGCCTCTCGATACTTGTACTGTACATGTACGTGCGGTATAATATCTCCTCTGCCAGAAGTTTACTAGGTCAGTCCCGGCGTTCCTCCACCGTATAGTTTGCGGGTTATCATATGTACTTATCCGCAAACCCCTTCCCACTCCCTTCGCCAACCTTCAACCGACATTCCTCCCCCCGACTGCAACCGTCCGGCCAAGGGGTCAGTTAAATGGCTACCGCTACCGCAGTCCCGCTAGGGTATTCACCCACTACGGTAGAGTTTATCCCTTCGCCTACGAGTAGATCAGGAGGCTTTCTTCGGAATAATTGACTGTAGCAAGCACGACATCTGAGACAATGTCAGTGCGGCCGCCCGCCACAGACTCTATGCCGATACGGTACGAGAATGGGTATCTGGCACTCTGCTCTGCTCGGTGCTGGAATCATCTCACCTCGACGGTCCCATTTCCCAATCCAACGCTTTCATTCGCTCGTGCAATGACAAACATCGGAATGCGGGGGGAAGTTGACAGGTTGAGTGTGGGGAAGGAGCCGAAGCGAGGACCAGTGGCTGAAACGCTCTGGTTAAAAGCCCAACGAGCGCCACTGCCAGCGAAGCCCATACTGTGGCCTCTCTTTGCCAACAAAACATTCCTGCACCTCCAGTGAGGTTAGGTGGGTACTTTTGTCCCGGGGTAGAAAACCAGCTCGTTTCCCACTACGACTCTACGACACGAATCCCCGACTCAAGCGGTTTGCGCAATACTATTTCGTACTGACTTCCACCATACCTAGACCTGGATTACTACCAGTGCCCAGTCCTCGGGCAATTTTCCCACGATTGTCCTGCTCGAACAGGCGCCAAAAGTTCCACCAACCACCCTTAGAGAACATCCATCCTCTATGACCCAGCGTCCAGCAGCTACCCTCTCTATACCGCAATTATCTTCCCCCTCCTCTCCGTATCCTACCCTCAGCATGTCCCACCTGGAACCACGCGACGGCTCACCAAACACATCACCCCGCTCCCCTCTAACCACCCGACGCTCCTCGACTCCACGCCGCCGTCGGGTAATTTCCACCAGCGCTGCCCGGCGCCGAACAATTATACCCAGACAGGAGGCTCCAGCGCCACCCGTTGTCTCCGCTCCCGCTCCCGCTCCCGCTCCCGTGCTGTCAACCTCTACCTCCCCGGCACCACCTCGCTTCGAGCTTGGCGACTTCAAGGATGCCCCTCAGGATATCTTCCGCACTGCTGGGTCATTGCTGGGGCTCCTTACCGAGGTGGTTTTTACGGGGTTGGGGTTCTTAAAGAAACCGCTAATATATCTCTTTTATATATACCTCTTCGTAGTCCTGCTGTCCTACACTTTTCAATTCGCCACCCAGAGTTTGTTCCGGTTACTATCACCCTTATGCGCGATGCCGGGAGTATCGCTTCTGGACGTGCCCATCTGTGACTTCGCCGGCGCCGGCGCCGGCATTGGTGGCGATGGGAACCGTATCTCGCAAACCGACTTTCCAAGGTTAATAAACCTCCAAGCCAGCTTCGAAGACATTCTCGAGAATAGTGCTGGGGGCAGTAGTATGGCCCTGGACCTTAAGAACTCTGAGGTCGCCGTGAGAGACCTGAGCATGCTCGTGCGTGTGAGCAAGCTAGTAAATAGGGACGAGTTATCGGAGAAACTAGACGATTTCGTCCAGAGCGCGAAGCAGACATCCCGCAGCCTCACCCGCTTCGGCTCCAGGGTGAATGGGGTCGTGGACAGCCTCCTAGCAATGGATGAATTCGCCATTCGGTCGTTAGAAAATGCCGACTCGCCCCCCTCCATTGTTAGCGCAGTATCAAAGATCATCCTAGCACCCCTCTACTTCATAGTCCCGCACAACCCGCAAAAGACCGAATCCTCAATCCTAAAGGCCTTCCTCCAAGCCTCTGCCACAATGGACACCTCAATCCAACGCCTAATCCTCGAGGCAGAACTAGTCCTGCGCGACCTGGACGACCTGGAAAATCGCCTCTCAACAATCCAGGATATGGCCTCGCGTGAGGACTCGCTAATCGAGGAGAAACACCAGGAGGCCCTCGCAGAGTTGTGGTCGATCCTCGGCGGCAACCGCCGCAAACTCGCCAACTTTGCCTCCCACCGGAATCTACTTGCCAACATCGCTACCTACAGGAGTAGAGCTCTAGCACACGTGTCTGCCTCGCTGATACGGCTGCAGCAGATGCAGTCGGATTTAGAGGACCTTAGGGATAGAGTCGCGCAACCGGCCATGCTCCGGGACGCACAGGTCGAGGGGGACGTCATCGGGGAGATTCCGCTGGAAGTGCATGTTGAGAGCATCCGGAAGGGTGTCGAGAGGTTGAACCGCGGGAGGGAGAGGCTCAAGGGGAGGGAGAATGAGTATGTTATCTCTTTTTCTTTTTCTTTTTCTTTTTTTCTGGTGCGATGGCTAATGTTTGGGTTATAGTCATATTAGGAAAGTGCTGAGCCAGCACGGTGAAGAAATCAAAGTGTTGGATGCTGGGCGATGAGCGTTGGGGTTCGAGGTGGGGCGCAATGATAAATCTGGGTTTTTGGATGGTTGGCGTCTGGTTGGCATGATAGATACCAGGCTTTTGGAGTTGCGATGTCTCACTTTCACGGCTTACAAAAGTTGCTTGCATGAAGGGTCCTCAGCAATACACGGGTTGATCCATTAGCGGATGAAAGCATAGAACACAGCAGCAGCGGCGTCCGTACTCGTACATTGGGCAAATTGAATTTTTGACGATATGATACCTTCTTTCTTTCCTTCCCTTTCCTCTTTCCCCAATGTGCTCTCCCATCAATGGCATGTAAGATATACCCCACCCCCACTATCATGAGACAGCAACCCCATTCAACCACCAATGTACAACACAATCCAGCACACAAAGCACCCACCACAAAACCAAAACCGGGACCAATAACTCTCTCTCTCTCTCTCCAAAACCCACTCCCGCTCAGCACCTAAAACCGGACCACCCATTCATCAATCCATCAACCAATCCATCCACCCACCCCTCCTCCGCAAACAACCCAACAAAACGGGAGATTCTAAAGGAAAACATATATAAATTCAGGAAGGAAGATGCGAGATCCCCCCAGAGATCACAGCACCGTCCACGGTACCCTACTAGCATCACAAGTTACAAGCAGTATTGTAGTGATCAAAGGGCCACCTCTAGATCTGGGTATCATACTACTGTAGGGCCCATCATTAGTATTTATCACAGGGGGTATTTATTATAAGCAAGACGATGATTCCATCACCGGATGCCGTGAATGCTCCGGTGACAGCTGTACAGCACGGTACAGTATCGTATTCGTATTGGGTGCGCGGGAGTGTGTGCAGTAGTGTACTGTACGAGTACTTGTAGATGGCTTGTGGTTGCAAGTCCTTGTGATCTCTAAGGAATGAGATGTATTCCGTACAACACAGTTCACGACCGCTGACTAGCATTTTTCTTAGAGATACGGCCCTTACACTATGGCAGAGAGTATATACTATATGACATTTAGGGTTCGCGATTGCTGTTCCGAGTTAATGAAAGCTTCTCCCCCCCCCCCGGACTCACATCATATTTTTTTTATATGATATATCTTCTTCCCCTAGAGCCTTGCTAATCGCAGACCTCGCCTCTGAGCGACTGTACTGTGTGTTCTGGGGTCGGATTGTGGCGCCTCGTATGATACTGGGTTAGCAGGACCGGTTCGCCGTATATAACCTGATCTGGAAAAGCTAGGTCTTTAATCTCCTAAATTCCACAAGGCAAGATTTCTTAACTCCCCTGCTCACAGCTCGTCACTCGCGAACGCCCACCTCGATTTTACCCCACCGGCGCCAACAGTAAGAGAGAAAAGACCAAACAAACAAGCAAGAGCAAGAAGCTACAGGAAAACCCCCGGCGGGGTGTGTTGTCTATGCGAATAACACGCCATGAATGCAAGCAAGTAAGCAAGGTACACAAGTTAACCAACTAGTTGACCATCTGCTCATGTGGGAATAAGCAAGAAAAGAAAAGACAGGAAAGGAGAGGAGATCTAGATGTGAGTTAAGCAGATCGGAATTTCATTGCAGCAGTGAGAGATAGGGGTGGGGGGGATTCAACATGAGTTGCGAGAAACGAAATGAGAAGTGGGGGTATATTTTTGGACGCCATGAAAAAGCGATACCAGAGTTCCAAACGTTGAGCTATCTATCCCAGGGTAGGAGAAAACGGGAAAGAAAAGAGGAGAAATAGCTCCCCCGCAGAGTAGTTAACCAATCAGGGCTTTTGCGGGGGAGGGGGGAAGACCATTAGAAATGAGAAAAATATTAGGTGGCGAAGACCAAAGGAAAAGGGCATTAGGCAATGGTGAGGATGAGAGGTTGGGAAGAAAAGTGATTGAAAAATCGAACAAACAATAAAATTCCCAGAAGACAATTGAGCGAACGTGCTGAAAGGAAATAAAGCAAACACAGAACCTCCAAACAAAATGTATAGCAAACACGGCCGAACGAGGTGAACGATAGCTCCCCGCCCCCGTTTTCATATGGGCCGAGGGGCTTTTCTCCCCTCCCCAACCTCTCACCTCTCTCTTTTCCTGTTTTCTGTTTTTTGTTAAATGCTTTCGACTCTCCAGCCGAGTTTTCCTAATTATTAGACATTAGGCCTTACTGACCTTTTGAAGCCTAGATACCACCATTGGGTATCACGAATATCCTATCCCCACGGGTAACCTATGGGGGGCCCGAGGCGGAACGGTTGGTGCTGGTGACGCTGCGCTGAGTCGCCCCCTCCCCTCCTGCTGCCCCTATTCCTGCTTCCCCACCCTCATCCTCATCCTCATCCTCATCCTCCTCTTCGTCATCGTCATCGTAATCTTCCACCTCATCATAGATGGAAGGGTCTCTCTCCCTGGTTGAACCGGTTTCAGCCTCCCAGTCCTCCAGCTCCCACCTAGTCCCATGCCAAGTAACGACACTATTAATCTCGTGTGCGCTCAGGCCTAACTTGTCAAATGCCTTGAAGAGTCTGTTATGGCCCTTGTATCTGCTGAGCCTCATACGAACATTGCTGTCGGCGTAATCCCAGCCGGGATAGACTTCCTCGAGTTCTTCGGCGGTGTGACAGTTATACCACTCTGCGATTTCGGAGCGGATCTCGGGATCGAGGACTTCGTTGACAAATTGATCAAACGAGGCAGGGTCCTTGGGCCCTGGGACAGGGAAGAGGGATTTATAAAGGATTTGGGGGATCGGCTGCTTCTTCATTGCGGGGTGTTCTGCGGGCTGTTTGTGAATGGTTTGATTTCCTGTGCGTTCGGGTTATCGGAGCAAATCGGGAGGAGGATGATCTCCCGCAGGGAGAGGAGGGGCGTTGGCTTGTTTATCTTCTTTTTTATTGGAACTGATAGGATGGTCTGTCAGCGAGTGGAGGAGAATCAGCATAGTATCTACGATTGCTAAGGAAATTTACCGGGACTGCAATGCTGGTGTGACCCGAACCAGAAGCCCGCAGAGCGTAAAATACACTACGACCGGAGAGGACTCTTGGGTGGTGAAGTCGAGTTGAAAATTTAATGAAGTGTTGTGCCGCGTTTTAGAGGATGAATCTGCTCGAGCGGGGGGATAGACAAGGGAAGGTAAGAGAAGGTAAGACGACAGGAGGCTCTGTTTCTAACGAAGAGTGACGAAGGAAGGTGAATCGTGGGAGGAAAAACGAAGGTTTGTAAAGAAAACAAAGACCGGTTTAAGTGGTCGGTGAATTGGCCTGGGAGAGAAAAAAAAGGTGGAGTGGGGACGCTGAGGAGGGGGGATAATGGGGAAAAGGAGGAAGAAGGAACAGACCAGTTGGATCGGTTTGCCCATTGACAACAGTTCGGCAAGTTCCACCCCCCCACCTCCATGCCAAGCCGGCAGCTCTCCTCGATGACCACGCATCATGTCATTGGTGGTGCCCCCCTTCGTTCCTCGAGGGAAGGAGAGTCGTGAATGTCGATGCCAGAGCACGTAGGAACGTCTAGCAGCGATTGACAGGGGCCTTCCCTTTTGGTCACTATTCTCTACTCGTAGAGAAATCCGAAACCGATCAAAACGATTTGGGTTGAAACGACTTCTCCGGACTTTGGAGTCTTAGAGTGCGGCGCCGGAATGGTTGCAAAGGAGATCGCGGACGTTATCCTATGCGGTCGGTTGGCCCCTTCTCCCGGGGGGACTGCATGTTATATCGATGGATACCTGTAAACTCATACCCGGGCGGTCTGAAGGCGGGTCTCTCGATCTGCCAGTGCATATATTTAAATGGGCAGAGCCTACAGTATCGGGTCCTCTCCCCCAGAGAATTCGCCGGACCAGCGCATCACAATTGCCGCAAGCCCTACCAGTGAAGCGCAGAAAAGCTAGCGTATGGCACCATATCATAGTTCCCGGTACAGTACCACGGAAGACCGGTTGATCCAGCGGATCCAGACCATTCATTGGTTGCTCTGCCTGTCAAGCCAAGCTTTTACCGCCCAGGGTCCTATGCCAGATCCGGCTAATCATCCGTCGCTCTTGGTTACAGCGGTAGCGAGGACCTAAGCTCTCCCTGTAGAGCCTCAATCTGAAGCCTTACTTCAACCTCACCCCAATACCCAGCTCGAATACCGGTAGCCTTGGTTCCGTCGCTTTGATACCCCATAAGTTAGGCGGGAAGTTAATAATGGTGAGTATTCCTGGATGGTGTACCTTTGGTGAGATGTACTCGAGTACTTACGGAACATGTTGCAATAGTCCACTTTCAAAGGAATCGTTGCGGGTTTATTCTCCTGATTACTGTATATACCCTTCGGTGATCAAGCTAATGGTCCTCGCTTACAGAGTTTCCGGATATAAGAAGTACGCTATGTCCATTCCCGCTGCCTCTCCTTTCGGAACTGATCCTAATATCCTCAGTCGATTATTTTCGCCGAAGTAATGACCCGGGGGCTCGCCCAGCCCTAGCTTGCTTTCTGACACATATCCATAGGTTTGTAAATCAAAGCAAGGCAAAGCTATAGAAGTACTCTAACAGCTCACCTAACTGTTAGCGATCATCTGCAAGGTTTGGAGGGGTTCTACGGAGGTCCTTTCATCCATTGCTCAGCGGCTACGAAGGAGGTAGGGCGGTATATGCAGCTAACCATCAAATATGCACGTACTCATGCGCCAGCTATAGCTGTTAATAAAACTAGAGAGACGGCTGCACCGTTTGAATCTTGCGAAAGGCGTTCTTGAAGCGCGACAATGTCTTTACGCGGAGAAAGAGAAGAAGCTTGTGAGTATGAGTCATGCATAACGTTCTGCAAATTGCATTCTGATACAGTGCCAGAAAGTCATCCCGCTGGAAACCCCAACAATGGTTGAGATAGGCAGCGGAAGGAGCTTACGTGTGACCTTGTTCGATGTGAGATGCCCTGTGAAACTACCAGAGGAAGCTAAAACGGCCCAGGCGAACCATTGCCCAGGCGCCGTCATGTTCTTAATGGAAGGCGATGGCAAAGCGATTCTATACACTGGCGACATACGAGGTGAGTCGTAGACAATTTGGGGGGGGGGAGCGAGTTTCTAACTATTCGGGGGACAGCTGAAAAATGGTGGGTTGACTATCTCAAGAGACATCCCATACTGGTTCCATACGCGGTGGGCTTGAAGACTCTGGACAAAATATACCTGGATACCTCATTCGCCGGTAGGAGCAAGATCCATGAAGTATTTTGCTCCAAACAAGATGGAATTCATGAGCTTCTCAGCCAAGTCCGAAAGTACCCCCAAGATACGGTGTTCCATCTGAATGCATGGACATTTGGCTATGAAGAAGTCTGGGTAGCCTTGACCTCAGCATTTGATGCTAAAGTATGATTAACTGGCAAGCCTAGAGTAGTGCTAATGGATCAGATACACCTTAGTGATTATCACCGCCGGCTCTTTCACTTTATAAGAAGCCCCGATAAATACGTTCATGGTCCATTTCTCAGTGGTTTCGAATTTGGTAACTCAAAAGTCCTTGGGTGCGCCACTTCAAATATAGAAGCTCGATTTCATTCATGTGAAAAGAGGATTGGGTGCAAGGGACTTGAAGGAAAGAGGAATGTTGTTTGGATAAACCCAGTCGTTACGAGGGTAGGATCATTTGACGTTCACGAAGCCGGCGTCGGGAACGGTGATTGTAGGGCTACCCCGAAACCCGCTTTGTAGATTTGAGTAATTGACACTGTTTCAGTGGAAAACCAGGATGATCTGGAACTACGGGACGAGCACTTAAAACAGATCCTTGAGATTCTGGGGCCGGACGTTCCGGAACGCGTCAGGGATCTTTTGAAGGAAGCCAGGACATCCATGAAGCAGGTACTCCCGCTATCTCTCCAGAGAGGTGCCGAGGGGGATGACTTGACGGCACCCAAACTCCTAGGGCTGCTAGACGAAGCAGCGAGCGTATCCAGTCAGCGGAAGACCCAGGAAACCGATTCCCAGATCCTTATCCCTACCCCTACAAGCAACGATGAGGAAGGAATAGTCGCGGAGGGCGGCGAAATCCTGCCGAATCTGATTACCTTCCCCTTTTCACGTCACTCTTCGTACTCGGAGCTACGCGGGTTGGTATCCTCCTTCAGACCAAGGGATATATACCCTTGCGTTGTCGACGAAGAAACATGGGATGAAGAGAAGAGTGTAAAAACATTGTTCGGCGATTTATGCACCGGTGATGAGTTCGTTCACGATAATGACATGCGACGGCTTTTGGAGGAAGAACACCTGGTGCAGGAGCAGTTAGAGCGGGAACGACTCAAGCGAGAGTTAGAATCCCAAAGAAATCTAGAGAGAAGCCAACTCGAGCACCCCGAGACAAAATTTCCGCAACACCAACCGGAAGAGACAGCAATCGAAGGCTCCAAGGAGACCGAGGACCAACGGTGGACGCAGGCAAGGGCAATGGCCTCATCGACGGCAAGCAACACACCCACCGCCTCCCCAATAACCTCACCGAAAGCCCCGAAGAGACCACGAAACGCCACGCCCGCAGCAGTTATGTCCTCACAACCGGACAGTCTAACTCCCAAACAAATCAAGCACGAGCCACACACATCACCACCATCACCACCACCTACCTGGTCGGCAAAGAAAATTAAAATTCAGAGCCCGCTACAAGAGACAGTCCTGAGCCCCCCACACCCCGGTAAGGAGGTACGCATGAGCAGCGTTGAGCGCGAATTCGCCGATAGCGAGAGGTTCTGGGAGGGCGTCGACGCTGCACTTGGGATTGGGGGGACGTGGTGGGACGTGGGGCTTTCGTGCACCATGCAGAAGTGGGGGTATGAGGAGGAGGTAGAGTTGTAATTCTTTTTCTCCTTTCTTTTATGTCTAATTGAGGGGTATCATAGAGGTGCACTTATGCGAATTAGAACACCTATACTTTATAAATGAGTATGCGGGGATTAGGGGTCATGGTTTTGACCCTTTGGTTATCTAAATTTAGTTATCTATCCACATAGCGAAAGTAGACACTTTGAACCTTTCAACATTTTCCACCGGCTTAATCCGGTGTGAACTCCTTTCTCCCAGGTTTATACAATTGAAACACAGCCACAGCACTAGCCCGAACCACTATACCCCTCTGCTCTTAGAAATCGAAGAAACCCCCGGCGGCCTCCACAAAACATATACAGTGAATAAAGAGTATTAACACAATATCACCACCCAATTCCCAAGGGCATCATCCCCAAGCAATCTTTGAACTAGACTATTGTCAAGAAATTTTTCGAAGACCCAGTTCATTACCAGCGAGGAGCGGGGCACTAGTGGCTGGCTGGCCACAAGGGTCCCCAAGAGGCAAAGAGAAAGAAAGAGGAACCTTCCCAATTACAGTGTCATCCTTGGCCGTTGCGCAAACTATCATCTGCGGCCACAACGCCACACCCAGCGTCCAAACACTACAGGACCACGGCCAATCCATTTCCCTCAATCGGAGGGAATGCTCGGTCCAAGAGGCACTACTGCCGATAATGCAGAAAAATGCATTACCCGATCAGCAAAGAACGTCACTGATCGCTGGATAGATAGAAGTTGGCTACGTTGGGGGATATATTTGGAGCAGCAAATTGTGTCCATGTATAGCGTTGGGGGAGACGTTCTGCCTATAAATTACTAATTCAAGGTCGGTGTTCTTGTGGGTTTTAGTCTATTAAGCTACGGTGTTGGTATCCTCACGGTGCGTAGGTTAAGATACGTGGACAAGAGCTCATGGTACCTAGCCTGCCAAGTATACCTTAGCATCGTAAGCCTCCGAGCACGGTATCAGCTAGCCTCTATACCACGAGGAGGAAACGTGGTGTTGGGAAGGAAAATGCACCAGTACATGTATCACTAACAACTCTCTGTTCTTGGGCGAGGGGAGGATTGAACGAGGGGAATATGGCAGCAGGGGGAAATCTGAAGTACTGTAGGCTGGGAACGCGGGAGGAGATAGATAGACGGCCGGAGGTTGTTGGATACGTTGGTGGCGATATAATAGATGTAACCGAGTATAAACAACAGATACAGTATATATATATCTCCAAGAAACATATCTATAGATACCGGCCCACTACCTTCCAGCAACTAAAATTCCCTCCTGTTCAGAGGGACAGTTAAAGCAGGAAAAAGAAAATGGTTGGCCTTTTCTTTCCTTCTTTCCCCTTTGCTTATTATGCGCTGTAAAGGATCTTGCTGAGGTAGGGCGTTTCAGATGCATCCCAAGACTATAACATAAACCCATAACGATGACAAGTGAACAGTAGTGTAAAGCAGTTCTGCATATAGTACCCGCTCAGCAAAGGTGATTGGGCAAATGGTAGGGGGGGGAGGGGGAGTTTCTAGTTCTGCCGGATTCCGGCAGGAAGCACGGGCTCCGCTGCAAACATCAAACGGGTCTTATATATACCTCTTGCCAAAATCATATCATACCAGGAGTAACTATTCAGACACACCTATTTTTATTTCATCCTCTGAGGAAATACTGCAAGTCCGCACGAGTAGGAATAGGGGAAAAACTTTGAATGGTTGCGGTTCGGTAGTAAATGTCCATCCACCCTTACACACAGGTTCTATTTTCCCAGCAGTATGTAAGTAACCGGTAGGGGGGATCCGGTGGAATCCGGGGATAGCACCTTCTTCTTCCTGATCGGTATTCCGCTATTTCCCTTCAACCATGTTTTTGCACAGCGCAATGTGAAAGATGCTGTCTTTTTTTTTTTTTTTCCTGCAAATACAATTTTTGCCAGGGCCGGAATCGGTTTTACCGGAGGGCAACAAAAAAAAAAAAAAAAAGGAAAGCTATATCCGCTAGTAGCTACCTTACCGGATATTGGGGCGAAGACGGGAATCCAGTAGGAGGCCAGAAATCTGAGCTATGATATAACAAAAAGAAAAAAAGAGCCATTCCGTTTGTAGCGGAGACACTGTCAAAGTCAGAAGAATGCTGTTCTTTACGGCGCGCCCGGCAGTCCCCTAATCACACCTCTCTTTTCTTTTCTTTTTGGGTTTTCCTCTTGCTATAGTATACCCTACCGAGGGAGGCTAAATTAAGGTCCAGTCTCCCAGCCCTCATAGAGCAGAGACCTTCTAATTCTCCTTCTCTACGGAATTACAGGTCGTTCAATTATAATAACCCATCAGCGAGTATTAAGCTTCTAGATCCTACCGATTGCACAAGGGTTAATCAATTCTTAGTATCCGTACAAATAGATAGCTAGGTGACCCGCTTATTATATATCACCTGGAAAAGTAGTAATCATCCGGGTGGTAGGTGGATCTGGGTTTCTTCGCCTGCGGCTATTGATAAATATCTTATATTGTTGAACGTGGAAGGCATTATACGTGCAGATGTATCCAGGAAATAAGAGAGGTTACAAACATCAATTGTTGATTGCAGGGGACAAGACCCTCTCTGTTCAAGGGGGCGATAGCGGCGAGGGGTGTTGGGGCTGAGAAGGGGAGGTTTAGCGGTGGGGGGGGAGGAAGGATTTGGATGGGGACCACGGATCACATCATATCACATCACAAATTGATTGTCCGGCCATCAGGTGCTGTAGCACACATCTGTAAGTGCATGGTAGAGGAGCGCTATCCTGTTCATGCCGTATGAGAGTCCGCGCCCCACTTCAAAGTCAGGCGTCATGAGTTCACCACCAGACCTTCTCCAAACCTACGGTAGGCAGAAGGGGTGGAGGTATCAAGCACAGCACACCCGAGTGACCACCAATGATCAGTCTTCATTGAGGGAAGAGGCGGCCTCACTCAGTGCGCACTATGGAAACCAGCAATGAGCGGCCACGACATCCTATCATACCCAAGTTACCCTCTATGCGCAACAAGTGTCGCCTGAGGTTTTGCAACCATTTCCAAAATCCCAGAACACGAATTGGCGATCGGTTAGGCGCAAAGATAATCATTCTCAGATAACCTAGGACGAAAGAGTAGGTATCAATCGCATCTTCAAAGGATTTATATCTAGCCAGTTTGCCCCTCTGGCCTCCTTGGGGCTCCCACGCACGGGATATGAGAGAGCGACACTCACCGCTAGAACTGAAAAGCGCTCCACGAGTACTAAGTGTAGAGTGGATCCGTCATTTTGAAATAGAGTATGGTATCGCACATACCTCCCCAGCAATGATAGTATCACCGGATATCCCTATACCCTACGAAATTCTCTGATATTGCTTTTGCCTGCCCGATGCCTGAAGATGTGGTATGATATGACACGGCATATCTATCTAGGTCCGGGGTGGATACCCGACCACGGGAAACGAGAGGGGATTTCTACGATATAACAAGGGAGCGATGGATACCATCCCGTCGCATCACACCCTGAGGAGCCTTGCTGCATATACCAGCACCAGTCTAGAGCTTTTAATATTAACCAGATATTATATCTTAGTAGGACGGAGGGAGATTCGGCGATGTATCATACTCGTAATGTACCATATAATACAGTTAGTGGGTGGAAGATCTTGGCACCACCCCCCCCTCCCACTTTGCCATAAAAATATTTTACTCTGGAGAATTTATCGAGCACTTTCTGCAAAAAATGAAAAACAACCACATTGGTGATTAAATTTGAGTAGAAAAGTAATGGGAATCTGTCCTCCGACATTTTTCCTATATGATGGCTGGTAAGTAAGAAAAAAGAAGAAGCATTGTTAAGAACAGTCGAAGGATGGGCACTTCGATACTTGACCTGATTCTTGATAAAACCCATATGATACAACACAAAAGATACAACCTAGCTACTATCCGCTACGATGCGTTCGTAATAACCTTTGGCCGACGCAGCATTGCGCTCCAAAAGGTTATATAATCAAATCTCACGGAAAGTGAGAAGTATCCCCGCCACCGTTTGGCCCATAAAACATGCTGATGGGGTTCGTGAGGGCGGTTATCCTAGAGCTAAATAGGGGCTCCAAGATCCCCCCCTTCCCCTCCCCCCCCCAATTGTATAGTAGTAGATCCCTGTGGGGTATTCCCGGGATGCATTATCCATGTGCTCCCGGTCCGCAATTACTTCCCAGAACATCTTCAATCTTGTGGGGTACCTATCCCCACCCACAGATAAGTATTCCACTTAACCGGTTGACACCGCCCCAGCACAAGTATGACAAGTAGACAATGTCAAGACCTAAAACGAACCTAAAGAATTTATCCAGGCGTACCAGTGAAAGAGTAATGCAAGCTCCGAAATTCCAACCCGGTGTATAATAATACTACAACCTTGTCTACCCGGGAGCACCGATCTAGTATGCACTGTACCGTACTGAAAAGCGATTAGTCAAGGAAAAGTGCCAAGAGTGAGTTCCTAAAGGGATCGACCTATGAGTACGGTACAGTGCTACCAATGACCTAGCCCCTGCTTAATCCTCGCTAGCAGACATCGTGGACCCTACCACGAACTACAAGCTGCCAGTGAAGGAAAGGTCGAAATTTCACAATTACAAAAGAACCGCGCCCACAAGTATGATACCATGAGTCTGAACCCGGAGGGTGGAAGACCCTGCAGGAACTTGTACGTAATTCATCACAAAACTAAGTTAAACAGATCCCACCTCCTCCATCAACACTATCAATTCGCTCCCATCCTCTCTTGACAAAAACCAAGTACTGTACAGCAAGGCTAACAATATCGAAAAGGCCCGACAGTCAAACCCACGCTTACAGCACCCACTCATCCCCCCTCCTCCACTATAGATACACAGTCCTCCAGAATTCAAGACAAAAAAATACGATACTATACTCAATTCCCAAGTCAAAGTGCGCAATAAATAAATAACTCTTGACTCCATGCGGGCCAAAAGAAAAAAAAACCTTCAGAGCTCCGGCTAATTCGTAGGGGGCTTATCTGATCGGAATCCTGAAATCTGCTTCAACCACTTCGTTATAGACTGGCGCGTCTCGCGCTGCTATCGTACACCAGCGGGAGAACGATACCTACCGTAGGCCGTCGGCCAAAGTTGAGAATAACGGGCTGAAAAGAAGAATGGCCGACGGAACATCGATGATAAAAAAATGGGCAGGTTCAGCGGAGAGTAGGGCAAGGCATTTGGACAGATACCCATCCGTGCATCTATCAGGGTGCTCGAGAACCCATACTTAGATAAGGTAACACCAAGTTGCTAAACACAGCATGAAAATCTCGTTCAGGGAAATTTGCCCGACTTTCAGGTTGGGAGTCAAGGGTAGGATACACAAAAGATCACTCAACTGGTGAGCGGATGAGGCTCCAAAGTGTCTCAAAGCGGTAGTTTGAGGCAATACCTGTAAAGAGATTTCTGGAGTCAGGTTTTGCTCCACAGACTAGACGCTCCATGCCCTTTGTACGAGTACTAACATCCAGTCTATGAATCTCTCTCATACTTGCAGATCTGGCTAACGGAGCCCTGTTGGTGACACCTTTCGAAGGAGGAGACCAGATCATGAGGAATCGTTCGTGGTGGCTGAGCGGTCGTTTCCGGAACGGCGTACGAGGGTGTGGACAAAAGTGATCGGAAAAACACTAATTTGACCAATCGTTGTCATGGGTTATCTGAGAGCAGCCAATTAGGTTTCACACCTAACGCGAGGAAAAAAGTGATCGGAAAGCCAATCACGTGCATTCCGATCACTTACCCTTACACCCTCGTACAGTACCGTAACCACTGTGTATACTCGGATAGAGACCGTTGCCAAGGGGGGAGTCTAAAATTGGTGTTTGGCTATGCTATTTGGGGAAGAAATAGGAGAAAAACATCAAAGTAGGTCCATTAAGAATTAATATTATTCAAAGCGAACGGGAAATTAAACCCAACTTCTCTTAGAGCAAGCAGGTGAGGCGTCACCCCCTTGGCAAAGGTCTCTCTACTCGAGTATTCGAGTATACAGTGCCTACGAGTACTTTACGGTATGAACACGGAGCCTAAGGGGTAGAGAACAGCCGGGTAACTAGCTCCAGTGTCATATATGTAGCGGGGTCCTGTGGTGGGGTGTTTGCTTCTCATCCTCTACTCCACTTCCGCACACCTTTCTTAAACGAACACCTACTCGTGCCAAGGTTGCAGCTACGGTC